CCCATCTACAAAATTTTTCATCAATTTCACCCCAAGAAAAAAATAATAATGATAATAATCTCTGTTATTAGAATCTTACAATTCGCGATTCGATTCACCATTTTTGCAAAATCGATACGAATCTATGGGTGAATCTATTTTGGAAGTGAATCTCTAGTGAATTGCACGATTCACAATCGATGCACGATTCACAATCGATTCACGATTCAATTCACTTTTTATGATTCATGCAATTTTTGAAATTATTGTGTCCGACATGTTTTCGACTCTTCTTTTCTCTATCTTTTTAGTAAAAATGACATAATACAAATTGTGATAGCGTTTAATACCAAAATAACTAATATATATACATGATTTGTTATTTTAGTGATCATGAAGTTTTTAATAGAATCCAATTAAATTCGGTCAGACCCAATATATTTTTTACCATTCTTTCCATTTTTTTCCCTTTAAAAAATCTAAATATATCTTCTAAAGATATTTAAGATTAAAGTTACACTATGAATTATCTATTGCTAATTTATTAAATTGAATATAATTGAATATTACATGTGCAAAGTCAATTATACCTTTTAAAATGTTTTACGCTTCAAAATAAAAGATTTTAAACAATTCTTTCTTATTATTTCACTGTTACTTATGTATGCTTATTGTCCAAATATCAATATCCTTGTTAATTATTGTTACTTTGGAAATTGATAGTTTGTCTATTTGGTTATTATCTTTATTAAGAACTGTTGATAAAAAAATATCTAAAAAAAAAAAATGTAAGATAGTGATCTTACATAGGAACCTTTATTAACTTCTTACCTATTAAACTACGTGATTATCATTCAAAATAACATTTTCATTGATTTAAGTGTAAATATATCATATTCATAAGATATATTTAACATCTAAATGTGTAGATATATATTTTTAAATAATTTAGAAAAAGTGACAGAATCTTTACGATTCACGATTCGATTCGATTCAATTCGTTATTCAGTACGAAACCATTTCGATTCACGATATGAATCCAAATTTCAAAACTATGATAATAATAATGAGAGAGAACAGTTTACACACCAAACATAAAAACATTGAAAACAGATGCAACTGTTTAAGGTAAAAAATTGAAACCCATCCTACAGAACTATGGCATCATGTGAAAACATGAATCAAGACTCTTTTCATGTTTCATAGTGGATAAGTGGGGGGATGCACACAAATCACAAGTAAAATATGAAACAACTTCTTGACTTCTAGCACTGACCAAATGATTGAAAAAAACAGACTAATAAAAGAGAAAGGAATAGAACATGTCCACTTCCTTAATTGATGATAGGGATATTCACTGAAGATGGTAAGGAATATACTCAATGGCCACATATTATGGCATGATTCAGACAAGTAAATGAAAAGCCAAAGGGTCCGTTTGTTTTTAGAGGTAGACTCGGTAGGATTGTTAGTGAGGGGATTATTAGTGAGGAGACTGTTAGTGAAGGGATTGTTAGTGATGGGATTAGAAAATTTGTGTTTGTTTGATAACCAATGGACTAGTAATAATTCCTGTTTGTTTTGAGAGATAGAAGTGGGATTAACCAGTAAAATTCCATAAATACCCTTGTTACATTATTATCAAATTTGGAAATTTAGTGAGTGGATTATGAAAAATTGTGTTTGTTTATGATATATTTTAATATTAAAAATTATATTTTATAAAAAATACTTAGGATCTCTTTTTTTGGGACCCCACAACCCTCTTTAAAAAATTATATTCAATTATATTTTATAAAAATATTATTATGAAATATTATGTAATAAATAGAAAATCAAAAAAAACAAATCATCCAGCCCATGGTTTTCCAAAACCAGTGCGTGGTTTCAAACATTGTGTTGAAATATTTTATTCACTCAAATATTGGTTCATTTCATCATCATCTTCGCCTTCTCTGTTAAAAAACAAAAGCAGAGTTTTGCCTTCATCCATCACCACCACAACGACGACGATGACGCCGATCTTCACCGTCAACGACAACGACGACGCAACGATGCCGATCATCACCGTCAACGATGACGATGACGATGACGCCGATCTTCACCGTGTTTTGCAGAAGAGTGAAGAAGAGAAAAGAAGACAGGATTTATGAAATTTCTCCACTCTCTCTTCTCAATTGAATTATCTATTTTCTTTTTTTCTTTCTTTTCTCTTCTTTAATTTCCATTATTTTTTCTTTTCTTCTTTTCTACAATAAAGAGTAGAAAATTAATTGAAAAAAAAATTGGAAATTATTGATTGTTTTTAATGTGGTTAAAAATTTGGAGGAGGGATCTATTTTTCTGTTTGATGATATAGTGGATAGTATGGTCATTTACATCATAATCCCAAGGGCTTCTTTTTCAATACCAAGTCCCATGGCTTATTTGATTTCAGGATATAAATGGTGGCATTGGATATTATATCTTGTAGGGTCCGTATATTTTATGTTTGTAATTTTTTTTCAAAGAGGATATAATATCCCATGAAATTATATATCCCCCAAAGTGGAGGATATACAATACCACCACCCCCATTATATCATATCTCCTTGGTTGGGATATGATTTAAAAAATCCAATTTATCCTTTTTCTATCTAACATAATATAATTTAATATATTTTTCGAATTTAATATAATATAATTATTGAATTTAATTTAATATTATTGAATTTAATATAACATAAATATTATTGAATTTAATTTAATTTAATATAATATAATTTAAAGCAAATTTTGAATTTAATATTATATAATATTATTGAATTTAATTTAATATAATATTTTGAATTTAATATAATATAATTATTTAATTTAATATTTAATATAATATAATTATTTAATTTAATTTTATATAATATAATTTAATATAAAATTTTGAATTTAATATAATATAATTATTGAATTGAATTTAATATTATTGAATTTAATATAATATAATATTATTGAATTGAATTTAATATTATTGAAAAAAATTTGGAAATTATTGATTGTTTTTTAGTGTGGTTAAAAATTTGGAGGAAAGATCTATTTTTCTGTTTGATGATATGGTGGATAGTATGGTCATATACATCATAATCCCAACGTCTTCTTTTTCAATACCAAGTCCCATTAAGGGATTGTCATTTACATCATACTGTTTATCATTCACAGTCCACTTCGGACCATGAAAGAGGAAAACAAATGGGGCCCTGTGGTTAGCAACGAAAGAGGTATTTCTTAATGAGAATGAAATCTCCAGGAATGCGGTCACTGATGGTATCAAAGTTGAGGTTTTTTTTTTTTTTTTTTTTTTTTTTTTTTTTAAAAATTTTTGTAGAGAGAGAGATTTTAATTATATTTTTAGTTCCCAAAGTATAAGAATTTTGTGTCATTTTGATCCCCGCCAATGTTTAAATTATGTTACTATGGTCCTCAATGTATAAAAAATGTTTCAATTTATTAGTCTCCTAATGCCTAAATTGAAATACTTTTTATACGTTAGGGATTAGATTGAGACAATTTAAATATTGGGGATTAAATTAAAACACTTTTATAGATTGATGACCAAATTAACACAAGACAGATACTTTTGAGACCAAGAACGTAATTAAACCTCATGGATAAAAGCCAACTTTGAAGGTGTTAGTTTTAACATTGAAGAATTTGTGAAGGGGTGAAGACACGGAAACTGAGATATCTCAAGAAATTTTGGGTTCTTGTTTGACATAGCTCTATTTGGTAAGAAAAATCTGTTTATGTATAACATTTTAGGATTCTCTTCATGATGGATGGTTGAGTGTTTTGGTTAAACGTTGGATAAAACAAGGGAAGCATTTGGGGTATGTTTTGGTGGTTAGCATGTTTTATTGTTATAATCAATAAATTATTCTTTCGCTACAAAAAATTAAAGTTTTAGAGTTTAAAATTTAGGGACAAAATTATTTTTTAAAAATCAAATATTTCTGTTGTGAAAAGTATCATTATTATATTTTTAGCAACGAAAATTAGACATTAGTGATTTATTATTATTCTTTTGGAACCAAATTTTTTGTCTCAAAAAATAAACTATTTTGAGACCAAATTATTTTGTCCCTAAAAGTCTATTTATTAGTGACATTTTCAAAATTTTGTCATTAAAAGCCTTGCTTTTGACTTTTTAGAACGACCTTTTAGCGACTATCCTCGTGATAATAGAAATTGATCTCTAAATGTCTTTCACAAAAAATATTTCACTTTTAGAGATCAAAATATTTTATCTCTAAAACTCTTATATGTTGTAGTGTTTTGTCGTTCAAAAAATAATAATAATATGGGTAAATTACAAATACACCCTCTGGGGTTTAATTAAAATACGAATCACCCTTTGTAATTTTGAAAATTATATTCCACCACCTAAAGTTTCTAATTTCATAACAAATCGCTCTTTTTATTAATAAATCATTAAGTCAATTAATAGTTTTTAATAATATTAAAAATATGTTTCAATTAATAATTTAGGTAATTTTATTATTATATTTGTGGGGACAAATTTTGAATGACAACACGTGGCCGAAGTGTCACCGAAGTGCCAGCCGGGGTGCCACGTGTCCTGGTCATGATGCTGAGATGATCTCGGCTAGGCCGAGATTATCTGCGAGAATATCGAAATTCGGGATAAGCGGATAAGAGACAAGAGTCCTAAAATGAGAGAAGATTTCAGTTTGGGTAAAAACAAGCTTATCCTAATCCTACTGGGAGTTCAAGATTAGCAGTAATCTTAAGTCCATTAGAGCTAGACTTCTATCGGGACTAGGATTGTGTTGGCTATAAAAGGGAGGCACCCCCATGGGTCTAAGGTATATTTTTTATGTTCTAAATAGTGAGTCAAGCTCTTTTGCTATCTTTGAGAGATAACTGACTTGATCGTTGGAGTGCCCCCGGGTGGATGAATCACCGTCGGAATCTCTTCTTTTTGTGACAAGTCACCGTCAGAATCTCTTCTTTTTGTGACAAGTCGTTCGGGCTTAATATATTATGTCAGTGTTCTTCAGCTAAGTGCTTAATTGACAGTGTGGTCGGATATTGACACACACAGTATTAGAGAGCAATTATGAATTTTATTTTTTTAATTAATTCTATTAACTAAAAAATTCTAATAAAAAAATATTTATAATTTTTCAAACTACAAAAGTAACCTATATTTTAAGAAAACCTCCAAGGTGTTTTTGTAATTTACCCAAATAATATTAAGTGACATGACTTTTACAAAAGTAAATGTTTTTCTTTCTAAAATATTCTATAGAATCATTTTGTCAGAACGAGACGTTGGTGACAGTTTTAAAATTAAAAAACATTTTAATAGATTTTGTTATAATCTCAGGCGTATTACAACCTTGGAGATTTTGTCAACTACTCGCCTAGAGAGGACAACTAGTATACGAGGAGAGGAAGTGAAGTTCTTTGTGAATCAACTCATGAATAATTGTGGTGGTGGTGAGTATAGTAAGGTGAACTTGAATTCCAAGTTTTTTGAGCTCTCATTTAATGTTATGACCATGATGATCATGGGGAAGAGGTTCTATGGAGAAAGCGTGGACAATGTTGGGGAGGCCAAGCTCTTTCAGAAATTGATAAGAGAGCACTTTGAACTTGTCAAGAAATCAAATCCAGCAGACCTTTTTCCGGTTTTGCAGTGGGTGGATTTGTTTGGGACAGCGAAGAAAATGATAGCCACGGCAGAGAGGATGGACAAGTTTTTGCAGAAACTAGTTGATGAGCATAAAAAAACCAGTTCATCAACAAAAGTGAAGACACTAATCCACAATTTGCTGTCTTTGCAAGAAACAGAACCTGGGTTCTATACCAACAGCATTATAAATGGGATGATAATGGTAAGATCAGATCACTACAACATCAATGTTTATCTGTATATTTATTTTTTTGTTTCCTTACCTGAATAAAATAAAATAATTTCTTGCACTTAATTTTCTATCTCTACCAGTTTTTTTTTTTCTTCTTCCCATCACAACCTTATGATTATGAATTTCTTATGTTTATCATCCTTTTGTTAAGCAATTTGAAGATCTACCCTTTTCTACACAGTTTTCTTTTTGGGAGAGGATGAGTCAATTTTGCAACACAAGTTCTTTGACCTTGTTTGATGCAATTTATAGATGCTGCTTATAACACATATATACATTGAAAATCTATGTTAAGAGTGTTTGGTGTAGTTTATACTTCATAATTTATGAGGTAAAAACAACTTAAGTTTTAACAAAATCAATTATTGAAAAACTGGAGGATAAGTTAGCTTATACTTTTTAATTATCAACTTTCATTTTGCAATAATCTACAAAAAATAGGTTTGTGGTTTTTTATGGTAGTGGTTGAGAAATGTCAAAACACAAAAGGAATTTCCACAATATTTTCTTAACACTAAACATAAAGGTAGTAGTGAGGTTCACATAAATATACAATTGATACGCTTCCCTCTGTATGTAGTAATAAAAAAATTAGGTAATTTTCCATTGCTATTTTCATCTTCTTCTTCTTCTTCTTCTTCTTTTGTGTGTGTGTGTGAGTGTGTTGGTTGTACCTCTTAACTAGGTGTCTGGTGTGGATAGGTATTGCTAATTGCTGGGAGTGAGACTTCATCTACTACTTTGGAATGGGCAATGTCACTACTACTCAACCATCCAGATGCAATGACAAAAGTTAAAGAAGAGATTGATGCTCACGTTGGACAGGATCGCCTCATAGATGAACAAGATTTACCCAAGCTAGATTACCTATCAAATGTAGTGAATGAAACACTTCGATTATATGCACCCGTCCCACTTCTATTGCCACATGAAGCATCTGAGGATTGTACAGTGGGGGGTTATGATGTCCCACAAGGCACGACGTTAATGGTAAATGCATTGGCCATTCATAGAGACCCCAAGCTATGGGAAAATCCAACAAAATTCATGCCTGAGAGGTTTCAAGCGGAGAGTGCTGGAGATGGGTATAGGCTGATTCCATTTGGCAGTGGAAGACGTGGTTGTCCCGGGGCTAGCCTAGCCAAAAGGATGGTTGGGGTAGCACTAGGAGCCTTGATTCAGTCATTTGAATGGAAGACAGTTAATGAAGAGCAGCTGGATATGACTGAAAGTCCTGGCATCACCATGCCAAAGTTGAAGCCCTTGGAGGCCATTTGTAAGCCGCATCTATCCATGCGCAAACATTGTGTTGTATGATGCCTTTTCATTCTGTTCTGCTATAGACATAAAAAGATTAAATCACAAGAAATTACAATCTAGTTGGAATTATGGAATGATAGCTATGATACTTTTTGCACTTTCTTCCTTTATTGATATAAGTTGATGTTTGCATTTGCTTGCTTTTCATCAATAGAAAGTTTCCCTTCTTCTTTGTTGATCAAAAAAACAATTTTCCATTTTTTTTGTTTTGTTTTTGTTTTTTGTTTTTTGTAAATTGAATTTTACTAAACTACAAAACAACTTAACTAGATTACGAGAATCAAATGAATTTACCCAAATTGTTTCCTAATCAAACAGGAAAGCAAAAAATAATAAAATAAAAAAGTTATTTATATTATATCCTTTGTGGTGTAGTTTGAAAAAAGATAGGAGATGCATTGAAGTCGTTTGTAGCTTTGCTTTGCTCAATGTATTAGTTTGTGCTTCATTTTAAAATCGCTTGTTCGTGCCTCCAATATGTTTGCTTGCTAGCTTGATTTTGTGGTGGTTGGTTTACACTCCATGGCTCACAGATTGACTTTTTGGTTAATGATTTTTTTTTTTTTTTCTTGATTTGCAAGGAAAACTTTATTGATAAAGCCCGTACAAAGCACAATAGAAAACATCAATAAAAAAAAGATTGGAGCTAGAACAAGCTCCAACCTCCTTGATGTAGGACAAGATTTTCAGAACTTGTATATTTTTAGTTTTAATACTTTTGATGTATTATTAGGATTCTTGTAATTTAGTACAAATATTTTAGAATTATTAGGTTTCTTAATTTTATTATTTTAGAATTAGATTTTGACTAGGATTTTAAATAGTTTAGAATTTTTAGTCTCTTAGGTTTCCTAGTTCTCTTAGGTTTATTAATTTGTGTTGATTTAAGTTTCCTTATTTATTTTGGAATCACTTTTCCTACAAGTATTAGGTTTAGTCTATTATAAATAAGCCTACAAGCATATGTAATTTTTATTTATTCAATAATATTTTAAAGAGCTTTTCTTCTATCTTCCTTGTGGATTCAAGAATTCTAGTCTACTAAAACGATATCCAGTCTCTGTACATTCCGCTGCGTCAAGTGGTATCAGAGCAAGGATTTACCTGGCTCAATGGCACAAGACATAGTAGATCATGCAAACCCTACTGGCGGTGATCGTGGGGTCGAGGCCCTGTGGGTAGCATATGAGAAACAGCAAGAGCAGTTGAACGAAATTCGTGATCTGCTTATTGGCCTGAATCTCAATGCCAACAACAGGCCACCAGTGGTTGATAGGGTTCGTGCTGAGGGAGTTGCCCAAGGCCAACCTGTTAACCAGAACAGAGTGCGCATCGAGGGATTCGCCCAAGGTCAACCTGTTCAGAATGCTCCTAGACGTCCCCTTCGTTGTCCATCTGATTGTGAGGAGGAGTCTGAACCAGAGTTTGAACCACATCCAGCCAACTATCAACCCAAAAGACAACAACAACAAGGGTTCGATGAGTACCAAATGAAGATAGATGTTTCCCAGTTCAATAGAAATCTACATATTGAGGATTTTCTTGACTGGCTTTCAGAGGTAGAGCGATTTTTTGGGATAATGGATGTTCCAGAATCAAAGATGTTGAAATTGATGGCGTACAAACTAAAAGGAGGTGATGTGGTATGGTGGGATCAATTGCAGAAAAATAGGCATCGACAAGGAAAAGAATCTGTACGGACTTGGCGTCGGATGAAACAACTCCTCCAAGATAGATTTTTACCACCAAATTATGATCAATACTTGTTTCAGTTGTACCAAAATTGCAACCAAGGAAGCCGATCTGTATTTGATTATACAACTGAATTTTGCCGACTTTCAGATCGCAATAATCTGAATGAGACCGAAGGACAGCGTGTAGCCCGGTATCTCAATGGGTTGAAATTAACCATTCGAGAGAAGATGGGGCTATCAGTAGTGTGGACTGTGGATGAAGCACATAATATGGCTCTCAAAGCCGAGCTAATGGAGCGCAAAACAACCTATTCTAGATATTGTCGGAACCTTCCTGATTCATCGTTTCCTACTAGGGAAAAAGGAAAAGGGGTTACCCAACCAACAATTCCAGTATATCAGCAGAGGAGTACCGCTGGTGGAGGAGGAGGAAACCAGATGACTAGATCAAGTAGTAGAGAGGCACCTCGAAACACAAATCCTTATGCTAAACCAACAACAGATAAGTGTTATAGATGTAGTACGCCTGGCCATCGCTCTAATGTGTGCCCAGAAAGAAGGACTGCTAATTTAGTTGAAGAAGAAGATGAAATTGGGGATGATGGTGATGCAGAATATGAGGGTGATCAGTATGAAGGTGCTGAACTCGCCAGAGAAGAAGGAGAATGAGTCAACTGTGTAGTTCAAAGGGTTCTATTTACACCAAAAACTGAGGACCTCAGTCAACGTCACAATATTTTTCGCTCTTGTTGTACCATAAATCAAAAGGTGTGTGACCTTATTGTGGACAGTGGAAATTGTGAAAATTTTGTGGCTAAATGATTGGTAACGCACCTGAAGTTGTCTCTTGAACCACACCCCTCTCCCTATAGCATTGGCTGGATCAAAAAAGGACCTGCTGTCAAGATAACCGAAGTATGTAAGGTACCTATTTCTATTGGCAAACATTATAAATCCGATGTATTTTGTGATGTGGTTGATATGGATGCTAGTCATGTATTACTTGGAAGACCTTGGCAATTTGATGTGGATATTACATTTAGAGGGCGAGACAACACTTATGTGTTCAATTGGGGGTCTCATAAAATTGCTATGAGTCCCTTAAAGCAACACACAGTGCCTCCGAAAGTCAAAGCAAAGTCTTTCCTCACTATAACCAATTCAGAGGCCGAGTTTGTGGCAGATGCGAAAACTTCACAAGAGTTATATGCTATGATTGTGAAAACAATGGTACTTGTGGCCAAGGAGAACACAGTCACACCAATCCCTCAGAAAATTCAACCATTATTGGAGGAATTCCAAGAACTTACTGCTGACGAGTTGCCAGATGAACATCTGCCCATGAGAGACAAACAACTAAATATTCCAAGTATTTTTTTATTTGGCATAGACGATGGCAGATCTCTAATATGAACTCGAGGGCGAGTTCTTTCAAAGAAGAGGAGTCTGATGTAGGACAAGATTTTAAGAACTTTTATATTTTTAGTTTTAATATTTTTGATGTATTATTAGGATTCTTGTAATTTAGTACAAATATTTTAGAATTATTAGGTTTCTTAATTTTATTATTTTAGAATTAAATTTTGACTAGGATTTTAAATAGTTTAGAATTTTTAGTCTCTTAGGTTTCCTAGTTCTCTTAGGTTTATTAATTTGTGTTGATTTAAGTTTCCTTGTTTATTTTGGAATCACTTTTCCTACAAAAATTAGGTTTAGTCTATTATAAATAAGCCTACAAGCATATGTAATTTTTATTTATTCAATAATATTTTAAAGAGCTTTTCTTCTATCTTCCTTGTGGATTCAAGGGTATTCTTGTGGATTCCAGAATTCTCGTCTACTAGAACGATATCTAGTCTCGTGTGATTTATTCCGCCGCATCACTCCTAGTTGGTGAGGAACCAACAAACAGAGAAAAGCAAGAAAACACAAAACTAAACCAACAGATAGAGCAGCAAAACAATCTATAGAGCAAAACATAAAAAACCCAAGACTCCCTGCAACACCTCTGATCAAACACTAGTATGAAGGCAGCGGGGAATAACATTAGCAATCAGCAAAAGATGGAACATTCACACAGCAATCACTGAGCAAAACAGATTAAACAGCCCCAAAGACCTCTGAGAGCAGAGGAACCAGAATACACCTGATGTACACCCAGAATACAACCAGAATCATAGAGCACAACAGATTAAACAGTCACTGAGCAAAACAGATTAAACAGCTCCAAAGACCTCTGGGAGCAGATGAACCAGAATACACCTGATGTACACCCAGAATAAAACCAAAATCACAGAGCACAGGAACCAGAATGCACCCAACAAAACCTCTGATGTTACCCTAGTATGCAAGCAGAATACATGCATACTCCTGTTACTGCATGGGACTTGATTAGGAGCACATTGTCCATCACCCAAGATTACTACACAACATGGTGCATTTGTAACTGAAATACCTCAGGCTGTAGAATCAAGCTCAATTGATGACTTGGTGGACTAATTTAGGATATCTAGCTAATGCTAAGTACATTTTTCAGATATTCCTCCTGGCCGGCGTGTAACTCATCTGAGAACACACTATTTTAATAATTTTTAAATTTTTTCGTCAAAATATGAAGTAAAAAAAATGAGTAATGCTAGAAATTTTAAAAGTTTTACCAAATTTTTTTTATCAAATATCTCACTTGGGTGTAAAACTCACATGGAACCTACATAGTGTGGGTCTCACACTCATATGAGACATTTTTTTATAAAACTTTTGAAGTCTTTAGCCTTTTTGAAAAAAATTAGGGTAAATTACACTAGCACTCTCTGAGATTTCTATTTAATACAAATTGCCTCCTCACATTTGAAAAATTACATTCCCCTCTATGAGATTTGTAATCTCATTACAAATTGCCCCATGAATTGCTGATGTCATGTCTTAAAATTTTCTAAATGACCATTTTTTTCCCTTTTCCTACCATTATTCTTTCTATCATCATGATTACAATCTACAATTTTTCATCATTAAATTCTACTTGAACATATTCTTATTGAGTGATGATATACAAACATAAATTTGGGAACAAGGTACCAAGCCCAGATGGATTTAATTTAGCGTGCATTCAAAAGATGTGGAAAGTAATGAAGAGGGAGGTAATCAATTTCATGAGGGAGTTTCATAGAAATGGAAGGCTTGTTAAAGGGATTAATAGTTCTTTTATCACTTTGGTGCCTAAAAAGGAAAGTCCAGTCGACTTATCTGATTATAAGCCTATTAGCTTGGTGGGATCCTTGTGTAAGATCTTATCTAAAGTGCTCTCCTCTAGGCTGAAGGCAGTGATACCTGTAGACGCGCCCTTGGGCCTCACTATAGTTCGGACTCAATTTCACGGTCCTGTATCTAATCTCGCAGAGTGCAATG